GGGGACGTCCTCACTCACAGCAGCAGGAGGATGGCTGGCATGCTGGGCCTAGCTTATTGGTCTCCCCTTGGAGCCTTCCAGAGCCTCCCCAGCTGGAGGCCTTCCCTGGGCTCCCTTGGTCCTGGAACTATTTCTGGAGTTCGTAGTACAGACATGGGTCTCTACCCATCCCCCCCTTGCCTGGCAATCTGGGGGCCTTGGTGTGTCCCAGCATCCATGCAGCCTCACACTCTGAGGGCGTCAGGTCGAGTCTGCTGAGGGAACAGTGGGCTGATGCTGGATGGATTCTCTGAGTCAGTGAGTCAATGATCTGTGCCTCCACAGTCTATCACCTTTCTGTGAGAAGGGTCCTTTTTCTCACAACAAATGTGCCTCTCAGAGTACAGACATTTCTGGTGACATGTACATATTCTTAAGAGGCAAAGAATGCTGTCTATGACAGCAGCAAGTTACAAAATGAAAACGAAGCTGTCCACAGCCCCTCTAATGGCCTCGCCTGCTGCGGCGAATGGTCACGGGGGGGAGGGGGGCAGCAGCTTACTCAGTGGCTGCCCCAGCCCTGGATGGGACTCCTGAGACAGTTCCTCTGCACAGCCGTCTACAAGGACAGAGGACCCACCTTTTCCCGGTTGCCCATCGGCCTGGCTGAGGGGGAGCCAGGGGCATGGCTTCCGCCTGAAGAAGGGCCCTAGAAGGAAGATGTGTCAGTCTGATTCCCCCAGAAGCCGGCCCTTAGGTAAGTTGAAGAGTGGCTGCTTTCTGTGGGAGGAGCAAACACCATCCAGGGGTGGGGAAGGGGCTCAGGAGAGGGAAGGCAATCAGCGCCTGCATTTAAGCCTGCAGGGAAGCCCCCGCGACACACTCACCTCTCCTCAGGCAGAGATGTAGGGCCCGCAGGAGGAGGATCCAGCAGCCCAGGGGTCGTCTTCCCAACAGCTATGCATGAGGCACCAACCACACCTGCTCCACAGTCTCTGCTCCTGGTGGCCAGTGAGGGAAGCCAGTGTGCATGGTCGTCACAGGACAGGGGAAGCAGGGTCACCACCACCAGCAGCAGGAGCTGGCTGAGAAGTACGCCAGGCCCTTCAACCTTTTCATGGCAGAACAGGTGGGTAATAAAGTCCCTTAGGGGCTATGGGCTGTGACACATGGTAGGGAAAGCCCCTTATTGGCTGGGGATGGGTCCAGGCACAGATTCTGGCAGTGGCACAAAGGCACCACTGGCCTCGTAGTTCTACCTAAGCCATACAGATCCCCCTTACCTTTCCTAGTTTGTCATTTAAGACTTGGAGTGTACTCCGCACTGTGGCCCTCATCAAATCCCATGTCAGCTGGGTGTATGCAAGGCTACCAGGGCAAACCTGGTGTGTGTGTGTGTTGGGGGGAGGGGGAGAGGGTGGCAAGCTGTTGGGGCCTTGCCCACAACTGGCTTCTTGAACCAGTAGGTGGAGTGGGGTCCAAACTGGGGAAGAAGGGACCAGAAGAGTTAGTGTGAGCCCTAGGTCACTGCCTCATGTGGTGACGAGGGTGAGGCCAGCTGGGGGGCCCCGCTGGCTGCGCCCAGGATAGGTTTTCTCTGGGTCAAGCCTGCTCAGCACTGATCCCCCACCTGGAAAAAGTCAAGCTACATTCTCAGTTTCACATTAGTCTTTTATTATTACCATATTGAATGGGATCACTTTGCCAAAAGGCGAGGTCATTTCTTAAGTCAGTATGAGTTACAGCATGAAGATGAGTGAGAAAAAAGCAATAGGATATAAATGGCACAACATGATATTCCATAAGTCAAATGAATTGTGCCATCGTGAGACAAATTATTATGACAACTTTTACATCAAAGTGGTCTCAAGCCTGTTTACAGGAACTTTTTATTTAACACTATAAAAAGAGAGCTTTTGAAAGTTAACATGGGGAAGCAGTAATGGCCTGTGAGAAGGAAGCCCAGCTTGCCAGGTGCTGTCCCTGTTCATCCTGGCCTCCTCTCCCCACCCTGCGACCCCCCAGTGTCCCTGCTCTGGACACTCAGGGGCAGGGCCAGGTGTGTACCTACAGGGGAGGGGGTGGGATGGCCCAGTGGGCCTCCATGGGACAGCCACCCAGAGGGCCTATGTGTACTTCCCGCTCCCCCCAACTCTGGTTCTATAACCACCCCAGGGGGCAGCTTCTTAAAGAAACAATAAAAACAAAAATAGGAAATTTGAGTCAACTCTGACAGGTTATCTATCCTTAGCAGACCGTATAACTGCCACTGAGCTTTATGTCTGCTCCTCGTCTCTGACAAAGTGTAGGCATCATTCGTGTTCGTGGTGGACAATCAGACCCAAAGGACCGGTGCACAGGGCTGAACTCAGATGCAGAGAAGGCAACGCCCAGGGAGGCCTTGGTTTATTTTTAGTCACGCTCATTTTGCAGTGATACTATCTCTTACAGACTGTAGGTCGCAGTGAGCATTAGAAGGAGGTCAACTTTGGAAGAATAATTCAGTATAATTAAATGCTTGAAGTGTTTTATGACCCCTTGGCATATACAAAAGGTAAGGCAAAGTCATAATGATTTTCTTCTCCAATCTGTATCTTTCATATACAATGTAGAGGTAAATTTTAACTCAAATTTCCAAACTGGTAACAGAGGAATGCATGAGACACAGGTACCTGCATTAAAAAACTGGAGGACAACGAAAATTCATCTAAGCTTTATATATATAAAATATATTTAACTGCTAATAATCAAAACATGAGAGGGCTCCACTGATTATATTTGTTAAAGGAAAATGAAAAAGATTTCAAATATTCAGGACTTTAAAAAATGTGCACTTAAACATAAGTACTTGATAAAATAATAAAAAAAAATTCTTTAACAGCACTCTAATAAAAATGCAAACAATGCTCAACTATGAAGAATAAAAACAAGTCACTTGAAAAGATTGAGAGTAATAATAACCCCCAAACCCCATGGACTATGGGAATTTGGGGTGGCACTGCCCACCTCCCACTCCCCCACCCTCATGTTACTTTCTTCCAAGGAGGGAGTGGCTTGTTGGGGACCACAGAAGCAAAGCCTCTGAGAGACCCCCTCGGTTCTCACATGGCACCAACATGGAAGCACAGAATGGAGGACCTGCCCCTTGTGTGCTGGAGGGCTGGGAGTTTTCAAGGACCGCTGACCACCCAGCCAACTGCAGGCAAGGAGCCTAGAGCCTTATCAGGGAGGTGTGTGTCTGGTGGCCACTGTAGGCCCAGTGATGCTGGACTATCAGGACTCTAGCTCTCAGGGCAAAGCAGGGGACTGGGACCCACTGCCAGGGGACAAACCTCTCCATGGCCCTTTCTACTTGTGTCTTGGGAGCCCTGGCGGGGTCAGCCCCACACTTCTTAGAACTGAAAACACTGACAACGCCCCGAACAGGTCCTCTGAGGGAAAACTAATGGCAACCGTGTGCAGTTGCAAGGCCAGTCACTGCATGGGGACCTTGGAAGCATACAAAGTGCGGTCAAGGTGACCCACGCCGGGCAGTAACTTACCCCGTGAGTCACCGCCAGGGGGTGCTATGCAGGCCATTCCACGGGGGACCCGGAGAGCTCATCAGCTTGACTCTGAGTAAGCATGGAAGGCCCAACAACCCTGTCACCTGAGCAAAAGCAGACTTGGTGTTCCTCTCCCATGCTCACGTGTTCACAGGTTCTCCTGTTAGAGTCTGAGGACAAACTGCAGAGCTATCTGGAACCCTCTGCAATAGCTGACTCCCAGCCATCACTGCTTTCTTGGAGAGCACGTGGGGAATCAGGTCACTGTCACACAGTCTGCAGAGAAACACAAGGTGAACAGTGGGAAGGACATCTAGTCTTTCACACTTAGCTTTTCACTGGTTTGCATGAAAGCTTCCACCTCCCAGAGGCCTTGCCCTCCTCCGAGGGGAAGGCCTGGGTACCTGTCACTGCAGGGTGGACACTGCAGCTATCCGGTTAGAAGTCCTGCTTACACAAAGGACAGGGAAAGGGGCCTCTCCGAGGCCTTTCTTCTTAAGGAGAAAAACAGCTCATATGATGCTTTCTGCCCAGCAAGATTCCACAAGCTGCCAGTTGAAAAGGGGAAATCTCTATTGTGTGCCGAAGCCCAGGAAGGCACCGGGCTGGTCAGAGCTGGTCCCGCCCCAGCGGTGGTGTCTTGGACGTGGTACACAACTGACCCTGGGCCCTGCAGCTCTTCTGCCCTCCCGGCGAGGGAAGGGCTGTGCACAAGTCCCACGTATTCCTGACTTCTGGAGCGTTCTGTGGGAAGCCCTGCTCCCCTAGAAGGGAATCCAGGTCAAATACCCGGTGTCTGCTACTTTAAGGCCAATGGGAGGTCCTGACTGTGGATGGGAATGAGGTTGGGTTTTTCCCTTTACTTCTCAGTTGACAGGTTGACAGGTGTATTCCAGCGCCGAAACTAGAGAAACTACACCAGAAAACAGACCATCTGGGAGATGTCTGTTCCAGTCAGGATCACATTTTCCAACTCAAGGAAGTAATATTCTTAGGACTTCTGAAATCAGTGCAGCAAAGTCTGGCTTAATGTGACCTTGTTTTCTGGTCATGAAAGATTCTAAAGAGGGAAATTCAATCGTCTGAGGAGGGACAGTGATGGCCAGAGTTGATCTGGCCTGAGGTTTGGAAATGTACTCTTTAAAAATGAAAAAAATCTAAGTTTAGACCCTGTTTCTAAAGGTCACTGTAACTTTCTGAGAGGTCAGTGATGGGTTTTTTTTTTTTCCAGCCTGGAATCCACCAGTTCTAGTCCATTCTGTTGTATTTGGCTCTGCTGTATGGCTTCCTAAAGGAGGAATGAAATAGGCTGAAAGAGAGATTTCCAGAGAGAAAGCCTTCTTGATATCAATTTTCCTATGCCTGATGCTCTGAGGGAGGTAAGATTTGAAACCAACTCTTCCTTCTTCTAGTTATAATTAATGGAGTTGCCACACCTAATTCTTAGATGGGGAGAAGGAGATAGAGGAAAAATGATTCGAATTGTGGTTTGGTCTTCTTTTGACAGCATGATACTGGATACTTAACCCCCGTCTACCTCAGAGCGAAGGTGGGGTGGGATAGGGCCCTGAAAGCCCTGTCTGCATTTTGGGGAACATCTGTCTGTGTGCTCTGTGGCCGTCTGCTCCTCTCTAGAGGGTTCCAATGGGTTGCACTAAGGCCACAGGCATGCTGGGAAAGAAGTGTTGGTTTCAGAGGGGTCTCCACTGGGGAAGCCTCAGCCGGGCCCAGGGGCTGCTGAGGGGGGTGGCCAGTCCCCAAGAAGGCGGCCAGGGGTACTGTGGTCAGATGTCCAGGGGGCTCACAATGGTGAAGCCAGAGTCCTTGCTGTTGTTGCTGTCCTCATCAGGGCTGGAACTGGGGTTGCTGGAGGAAGCCGAGGCAGGGCCCATCAGAGGGTCGGAGAACACCAGAGGGGAGCGGGCCAGGGGCTCGCTTCTTCCAGAAGTGCTTCGGAGGGTGCGAAGAGGCTGGGCCTGGCCTGAGAAGGACCCCTTGGCACTGCCTCCCTCATCTTCCTTGGAGACCAGGATGAAGTCATCTGTGCTCCCTCTGTCCATGTTCCCTGGTGTTTCTGAAGAGGCCTGTGAGGTACAGTCAGAAGTATAGGTGGGTGAGAGAAGACTCCAGTGAAACAAGAGAACTAAGCAGCAGTCCTGTGAGCTGGGAGAGCTTCCCAGGTCACAGGAAGTTTAGGCCCTGTGCTCTTCCTTGGAAAGACGCACAGTCTGGCCCTGCTTCCCTGAAGCCCCAGCACTTCCCGGTGGCATGGGGCCAGTTCCTCTGAGGCTTGCTGCTGAGTTCCCAGGGCAATAAAGTAAGCCTCCAGCTGGGTAAGTTACGAGAGGCCGGCTCAGGAGGCAGGGAGCAGGCTGGAGTCCCCACCAGCTTCACGTGGCACCCTGCCATGCACACCACCCGTCTTTCTTGGCTTTCATGTTCTCACCTGTGACATGAGGACAAGGATGGCATCTCTGACCCAGCGTGTGGTCACCATGCACAGAGATGATGTGCATGGACGTGCATCACACAGGACTGGCTCTCTAACGTAAGCCCAGACCTGGAGTGATTTTACTACCTGTTTAACAAAGAGCTTCTGGAAGGCCCAGTGTGTGTGTCTCCTAACCGGCTCGGCCCAGGTGTGCACTTAGGGGCCCCCTGGGACAATGCTGGTAAACGTGAAAACCAGGAAGTGCAACTATAAAGTGTATGGCAAAAAACAAGAAGACAGAATGGTTTCATTCTACCGTTATTTTCCTTTTGTTGTAAGGAATTATGAGTAGCATTTAACTAAAAAAAGCTGACATCCATGAACCCCAGGAAAGGTTCTGGGTTAAGCCCAGAGAAGCTCCTGCCTTCCCTGGGGCAGATGTAAAGCTACTGTCTACCCCAGGATGTTCCAAAGCCAGCCTGACAGAAAACGTGCTGATGTAAGTGGATGTCGTGCCCACGCCTGCTCAACCACCCCTCCCTGTCTGCTCTCCCACAGCGTGGGTGGGGGGAGGAGGGTGGGAACTGGCCCCCGGGTCTGAAGTCTGACGAGATGTAAAGACCCCCTTGGCCAGAAGTACCCCCTGGGTCCTCTAGCCCCCAGATTGGTTGGCCTAGGCCACCTGTGGACAAAGCCTGGACAGGCAGCTGGCAACACTTCCAGAGGAAATCTGGGCTTGTCTCTCTGAACTACATGTACTTTGGTGACACGGGGGTGGGGGGGCTGAGTGGCTAAATAATGGCTCAGGTGCCTCCATCCTCTGACCATTCATTCATCTTTAAGATCTTCAACTGGGAGAAGAAAAAGAGAATTAACCTGAAGATCACGGCGCTAAAGCAACAGGCCTTGAAGTGCCTTGTCTCAAGTTTTAAAGCTGCTTACATTCCAGCAACACATTAATTCTTACAAAACTGAGAAGAGATGCAGAACGTGGCACTCAGGCAGAAGAGGCGGCGATTACTGGCACCAGGACAGTTTGGGAGAGAAAGTCCATCCCCCCATAAGGTGCACCCAGTCGGGGCTGTGCCAGCCTCGCAGAGCCTTGAACGGACATGTGCGTGCGGCCTGTCCTCCCCTGCATTTGCACGTGGGGTGCAGGTAAGGCTGGGCAGGATCTCAGCTTCAAACTTCTACCTCCAAAGTGTGGCCGCGGTTCACGTGACCGTTGTCCTGAACTGTTAACCATGAAACCCTTGACTTCTCACTTCACACAGCGTCTGGGGCTGGAGTGCTGCTTGGTAGGGCTTATCTGAGAAAATGAAAATAGCACGTACAGCAGGCCCCATTTTCAGAGTGGCGTCTCTACTACAGAAATACCGTGATAAACTATTCACCTTTAGCTGAGAGTGAACACATTACAAGATGCTGAAGAAGGGAAATATGTTCTAAAGCTTGTGCCCGGAAGTGAAGGGGGTTCCTACCATCACTAATTATCTGGCACATTTCTGGGAAACTAGGGAAGGCGAATTATAAATGGTGGGTAACCTTCCATTCCCCATTCCCAGATAAAATCAAGGGCCGACTCAGACAAAGCCCGGTATAGCTGGCAGGGCCTGGATAACCCCCTTCTTTTCGTACCCCTCCTCTCACCTTTATATTGCAGATCACACAATGATGCCCAGATCAGAGGCCTGGCCCTGACTGCCACCCAAGGCTTGGGATAGGCTCCTAAGGAAAGATGTTGGGTCAGGACTTCCTGCCGGGGTGGGGGTGGCGGTCCCTGCATGAATCTAGTCCAGATTCCCACAAGGCCTCTGATACTCGGCTTTCTGTGGGACTTGCTGCTTCAACCGGGACTTCACTTGCCTGTCCTCCCCTGAAGACGTGAGGAGGGCACTGCTTCCCTATTTTTCCCTTCCTCAGGTAAAACTTCTTTCAGGAAGGTGGGTTTTTATAAACTGTTAACACCCTTGGGGAAGAAAACCCTGGCAGGAATGAGAAAAAAAAAGCCCTACAATTTGCCCCTTTCCCACTTTTCTCCTTAACCCTACAGAGGAACAGGGCACAAAAGGCAACGGTGGGGTATCTGGGCACAGAACGGATTGGCGGTGTTTTAAAAGCACAAGCAGAGGCAAAAGGCCTCTTGGATGCTGCTCGGGAGTGCGGCACTGCCAGCACTGGGACATGTCCTAGCTCATGTCACCGGCGTCACACGGCTAGCGCACCGAGCAGGCACACGGGGGTCTGCGGGGGGCAACAGGTAGTTCTTATAAATGTTGGAACTGGGAAAAACAAGGGCGAAGTATAATCAAGAAGCTTTAAATATAGCAAATTCATGAGTGTTTTTGAAAGTTCTTTTTCAGTATTACTTTTCTACATTCAACTACAAAAAAAAAATCACACTCAATTTTAGAATAAAATTGCCAATTAAAAATGGTTTGGGGGGGTGAGCCTAAGCTCAACAATATTTGAATAAAGAAATGATTATTGAAAAATCAAATATCAGTTTAGGAAGGAGAATCTGGAGGAACCAATCAAATCAAACTTGCAACGTTAACGCTGTATCCATGTGGCCAAAGATGCAGACTAACGGCTCCATGAAAACTTCCCTTTAAAACTGGACAAAATTAGCCACAGAAAGTTCTCTCTTCTTCTTCTTTTTTTTTTTGAAAGTTCTCTCTTCTTGAAGAGTACTCTTGGTGGGGATACTCTTAAAACAAAAAAATTCCCATTCTAAAGTATCATTTTGTTTTTTTTTAAACCATAATTTATAAGCATCTGGATGCTAGTCTGAGAAAGAGCCTTAGGTGAGACTTTGCTAATCTGCATTTCTTGTAAGCCAAAAATATATTATTAGGGATCTTTAGTCCTATCAGAGAAAGCATCGTGAAGAAGCACGGTGGAACTGGAGGCTTGCTGGGTTGGGACAGGAGTACTGAAAACACCATGCCTGGTGGGCCTGTGCTCCTCCTGGGCCTTCACTGTCTCACTGGTAAAAGAAACAGTACTAAGCCCACAAGGAAGTTCCTGGATCCTTTTTCACTGGAAAAATCTGTGGGTCCACGTTAGATTAAATTACACACAATGTCAACACCAGAGCAGGGGGCAGCAAACTATGGCCCATTAGCCAAATCTGGTCTGTGGGCCCTTCCCCTAGGCAGTCAAGCTGAGAATGGCTTATACATTTCTAAAGGTTGTAAAAACAAACACACCAAACAAAAACAACTATGAGACACAGACCATATATGGCCCCCAAATCCAAAGATATTTACTATCTGATCCTTTATGGAGAAAGTTTGCTGACCTCATTCCCTTAGAGGATGGACATTAATGAGAAGCCCTTCTCTCCAGAGAAAAAGGTAGCCCAGAGAAGTCCACTGAGGACAGCACCAGGAAAGCAGGAACAGCACCTCCTGTGCTAATGGGGACTGGAGGCATTAGCGGGAGGCACCCAACCCAAAGCTGTGGCACAGGGGTGGGTTTCTAAGGCCACACAACAGGACTGGCAGGAGGTTCAGGCTAACGCTGCTGCATACAGGTCTGTAGGTTGTACACTGCACAACTCTCAGAGAAAATGGTCTCCTGTGGAGCACTGGAGCATGCAATTTGCCTTGCTACAGAGCACCTCTGGTTCAGCCACCTGTGGTATCTTATAGTTGAACTTTGCACATGGTAACATGACATGACTTTGGGAAGGTTTTGTTATTCATAACTTTGAAGACCTTACATGAATGTGTCCTCAACAAGTTACTGTGACGTTGATCACCAGAGCTCTTATACCTGCTTGGTGGCCCCAGGCATTTGGTCGCTCTGGTCTTGGCCTTGGCCACTGGAGCAGTAGTGGTCATCTGAGATGGTGATCTGCTCATTCTCCTCAGCTTCCAGCTGACTCTGGTTGAAACGCAGGGAGCCTTTTAGAATGTCTTTGATCTAGTTTTCAAAAAGGAAGAAAATAAGTGACAGAGACGGATGAGTTTGTTTTGCAATACTAGCTAAACCTCTTAACATTTAAACTAGGCTTATCACTGACCATTTTTTAATAGTATGGATATGAATATATTCCCATAAGAAAGGAATAACAGAAAAAAAAATCCAGCTCTATCAAAGCCATGGACTTACGAACAACCTAGGAAAATTTCAAAGTCTTGATGGCCAGGTTCTCGCAGGATGAGCCCTGGGTGTCACATCCTGGGCAGTTCTCTTGTAGCAGGAAGTACCACTGCTTACCTACCCAGCCCCACCGAACAGCCCTTAGCTACCAAAGCAGCTGCACCCTCACTGAGCTGTTAAGAACACAGGCAGACATGTGAGAGCAGCACGTTCTTTTCATTAACATGTATGTTCTACACAGCCCTCCAAGGGTTGGGGAAACGTGATCCTTGTGGGTCTGAGGCCTGTCAGGGGTGCGGCAGGGGGTGATTATTACTCCAAGGTCAGCATGGATTTACGGATGAAGAACTGAACCTGCTGCTGGGCCACACAACACCGGCGCTGGGTGAGGAGCAAACAGAATGGCTTTGGTAAGAGGAAGAAGCAAGGGTGGGGACAGAAAACTAGCTTGGGCTGCAAGCTTGTCAGACAGAATCGCTAGTAGGAGCAAGAGGTGTGAGGAGCTGGGGAGTCAGGATGGGCTCCACCCAGGCTACGGTATGCTGTGCCACAGCGTGCCCTGCCTGACGGGCACGAGGATGGCCGGTGGCTCTCAAAGTCAGATCAAAGAGACATACCTGTTTTAATCCTGCCAAAGAAACCAGAATTTGATCTTCTTTTTCCAAATTTTCTTGTAATATCACATCTTGAATATTTACTGAAAATAGAAGAATGACATTTTATAACTAATGCTCTGAGTGTAACTTATTGGCCAGCCACACCATAACTTGCTTGGAAATTTTTCTGTCCAATTCCATGGCAAGTATTTCACCAAGGGTGGCCTGTTCAGCTGCGGATGGGGTGGATGTGGAGGACAGCAGAGGGGAGCACTGAGCCCAGCACGTACAACCTTCCCACCAAGGTGACACAAACACATTCTTGCAATGACAGATGGGTCTTTATTTCCACTGGGAGACCCGGGCTCCTCCTGCTAACCTCTGCTGTGAATGGCCCAGAGCATGCAGCCAGCCCCTGGGAGAGGCGTTTCAGCTGCGCTTCCTTCACCATCTCATGGTTCAGTGATGTTAACTCACCTCCCTCTCTGAAGACCAGGCTTCAGAGTTAATAAGGATACCATCTTTAAAGATTTAAACAGTAAAGCATGTTGTCAGTTCAACAAAATGTTAATAATGAGACAAACTCACGGAACTACAGGTGCCATCAGACAATAATGCCTAAGGAGTCAACCTGACATCACCTGGGGTCTTCACAGGAGCTACTTCTCTACGTTCTCTAGGAGGCTCACCCTTCTGGTGAGAAGTCCTCCTTCCAGGCCTGATCTGAGGGATCCAGCAAGTCCGCTGTGACCACCAGGCTCAGCACTGCACCGAGCTGCCCACCAGGAGGTCCAACAGGCAGTGGTCCTCAGCGATCCCCCACTGCACCTGAGGGAGGCACACAGCCCACTCAGGGGTGGGACCTACCAAGCTTGGATTCTCAGGGGAGCTCAGGGGGAGGAGGCAGAGCCCTCTCCCCACCCCAGGGCTGGGTAACCCGACCAATGGGCAATGCATTGGTCGGGTTACTAAAACACACTTTAAAAAAGATACCTCTATGCACACCAATTGAATGATCACTACAAGTATGCTTACCCTCCATTAACACCTGCTTTCTGATTTTGTGGCCTTAAAGCACACCTAGGGGTGCCTGGGTGGCTCAGTGGGTTAAGCATCTGCCTTCAGCTCGGGTCCTGACCCCAGAGTCCTGGGATCGATCCCTGCATCAGGCTCCCTGCTCAGGGGGAAGTCTGCTTCTTCCTCTGCCTGTTGTTGTCCCTGCTTGTGCTCTCTCTCACTCTTGCTCTATCTCTGTGAGAACAAACAAACAAAAACTTCCTGCCCCATGCTTAGTCATTCACTCAGTAGAGCTGTCCCAGTCTCAACTGGGGACTCCTCAGTTCCATGCCGGGCCCCCTTCAGCCACCAGAGTGATGTATCACTCCTGCTTGGTTACCCCCTGCCCTGCTGGTGATAGCGGCAGAGCTGGCCTGCTGTTCTCTTGGCCGGCAGTCTCTGGGCCCGCATCCGTGTGGACTGGCTCCTCCTCATCGTTCAACTCTGGTCCCTCCCATGTTGCCTCCTCAGAATGGCCTTCCTGCTCATCCAAACTAAGGGAGGCCAGGTCACCCTCTGGTCTCTGGTTTCTGTCTCGCCATCTCTGTTCCTATTTCACTGTTTCACTAGGCGCTTGTCACCAGCTGGCATTATCACACGCATCTGCTGGCTTGCATGTCGTCCATCTAACTCAACAGGATATAAGCTCCGAGACTATCTGGTTTAGGACTCTACTCTCAGCCCTTAAAATACGGCTTGCTGCATTTTAGATACACAGTTAAGTACTGACTGACTGAGCAAATGTGGCAAAACACTCTTGGAAGTTGCATTTCAAAATACTGCTATGCTAAATATTTCCAAAAGTATCTCCAGTGAAGGAAAAGGCAAAGACTGATACCATCAACGTGAGCCTGGCCGGAGAGTTTGTCAGAATCTTCAATGACAGTAAGTCTCTAAACCACACCGAAAAGTCCTCTCACACACCATGGAAGAAAAACAGCAGCTTTGATTTACTCAGAAAACGTGACTGTAGTTTCTGGCTAATAATAAAGGCCTGCTTCAAAACAAGAAAGCAAGATGAATGGGAATGGAATAACAGATATAATTAGAGAGGGAATGTTTTCGGTTTCCTTAAAAGCCTGTAACAATTTGTTCTCTCTCAACAAAAAAACAACACAGAATCCACTCAACAAGACATAAAGGACAGCCAACTGGAGAGGACTGACAAGAACCAGTTACATAGGCCTTTCAGAGGATTGAAAAGGTTGCTTTTGTTTTTGTGACAGCCAGGGTTTTTAGGGCAGAGGTCTGAGGGTCTAAGGGCTGCCTGGGGTGGCGTAGTAGTACATAGTAGCTGGCGAGTTTGGCGGGGCCCTGAGTTCTGCCCTCCTGAGCTACAAGGTGGGGCAGGTTTCCCAACTTCTGCTGTGTAAGGAGGGGCAGCAGGGGAAGAGCTCCTGGGCCCTGAAAGGACGCTCAGCTAATGGATGCAGGAACACCCCGATGTCTGGAAGAAGCATGGGGGGCTTCTTGGGTCCAAGGAGCTAATGGAGAGGAGGCCACTGGAGACCATACACAGCAAATCAGGGGGCCGGGCCAAGTGGGGGCCCCCTGCCCTGACTCTATCTGTAGCTCCTGCCTGCCCCTTTGATAGTCTGCTGTGCGACATATCCCCAAGCCAAAAGTTTGGCCAAATTGCCTGGCTCTTGCCTCCAGTTTAATGTGGGGCCCACGGTCAACAGCAACAAGGACCGAAGGCCTTTAGGGTCATAGGCTACAGGCTAACAGGGCAGTCAGTCAGGGGCTCCAGTGGCCACCAAAGCCCGTAACTATGCAGGGTAGAGCTCTCCTCTGAGGCCAACAAAGACCAAGAGGGCACTCAGAGGCTGTTCCTCAAATACTAAAGAGACATATGAGCCATCCTAGCCCCCTGACACCATCCTGGCAGGGAGAAGAGACAAAGTGAAGAAACCCGAACTGTGGACATTTGTTCAAATGGGATGGTTAACTTGTAAGAGACCAGGCTGCCTTAAATTGGCAAGTTTAAGACTTGGACTGCTTTTGGTGGGAATGGAACTTCAGAGTGAGATTTCTGTGTACCTGAGTTTAAATATATGATTCAGGGAGTGCCTGGGTGGCTCAGTGTGTTAAGCCTCTGCTTTCAGCTCAGGTTGTGGTCTCAGGGTCCTGGGATTGAGCCCCATATCAGGCTCTCTGCTCAGCAGGGAGCCTGCTTCCTCTCCCCACCCCCCCACTGCCTGTCTCTGTCTACTTGTGATATCTCTATCTCTCTCTGTCAAATAAATAAAATCTTTAAATATATGATTCAGTATCCCACTAGGGAAGTACCAGTGTCTTCCTGAGATCTTATAAAATCATTGGCCACTTTGCCTGAAAATCCCAGGAAACAAGTCACCCCAGTGTCCTCTTTTGGATGCCACAAACCCCTACTCCAGTAGTGGTGGCGATGAAGGTGGAAGTTATAACTATACTGGCAAGCTGGAACAAGAGAAGCCTCCGTCTTTCGTGACAGGCCTAAGTGGGAGTAATGCTCCATGATCTAAAGTCACACTGGATCAGAGCATGAACAGCCAACAAGCTTAGAAGCTCACTGCTATACTGTATCCTGGGTCTAGAGGTGGGGCCACCCCAGCTCCACCTTCCATTCCTTCCTCATCAACATGTCCCAGATCTCATTCAGGGCAACACCACACGAACCTTCCCTCACAGCCAAGGCTGGTCATGTGACAAAGCTCCAGCCAATGAGGTGTAAGAAAAGTCCCCGGATGGAACTTCTAGAAAGCTCCTCACTGGGTCTAACTCAGTTTGTGCCTTTTGGACCTTTACACTTCCCACTTTTGCTACCTGAAATGCTGGCAGGTGCCCCGCAAGTCATCTTGAAAGCATGTCGATGAGGATGCCAGCTTGAGGACTGTGGGCAGGAAACCAGAGGGAGCCTGGGGCACTGGGCACATCACAGAGCTGCTACCCTTGCTTGGACTGCCCACCTTCTGGCTTCTTTTAGTTATTAAACCAACACAAAACTTCTTGATTTGTTTATTCTACTGCTTTTTGGGTTTATGTTTGTGTCCAAATTTCCCTTTTTTTAATAAGGACACCAGTCACTGGATTAACTAAGTACAACCTTGTCCCAACTTGATTATATTTGTAAAGACCCTATTCACAAATAAGGTCACATTCATAAGTTCCGGGTGGACATGAAATGGCAAAGTGGGGGGTGGGGGGTGGAGAACACTATTCGACCCAGTACAGCAGCCAAACTGCCTCACTGTTCACAGGATACAGACCATCAACTCCTCTAATGAAAGGGGAATGAGATAGCCCCACCAATCCTCTCCTGCATGCAGAGTCCGATCTCAAGTTCCAGGCCACTTCCAGCCTGCTGTGCAACGTGGCTGGCCAAGAGTACACCCAGGGAGGGAGAAGAGCCCAGAGCCTCAGTATCCTCAGCGGTAGACCCTTACCCAGAATTCTTTAGCCTTATTTTTAAGACAAGATCAAAGATCACCTTTCAGAATCTGATGGAAACCAGGACCTTCTGTCCCCAAAACCCACATTATCTATATAATGTTCATTTACTCTTAAGGACAAATTTCTGTTATAATCAACTAAGCTGCCTAGTCTCATTTTAAGAAATCCAGCATAAAGAAATCAAATTAAAACAAAAGGGCACTTGTGGATGCTCTTAAATGTTTTGAATATAAGAATTCTGACTTTACTAACAAAGTACTGGCCATGTAAATTCTTTGCCTAATCAGTTCAACTACATATTGATTTAAGGCAACATTTATGAACATTCAACTAATATATAAGTTCTCAGTAACAAATTTACTGCTTTAAGCTGCACCTTCATGTAAAAACAGAAAAACATAATGATATTTTTTCTTGCCTTTAAACATTAAACGCAGAAATTGAAATGTTTAAATTTCCAGTGCAATGCACATTTTTTCTTATAGCAAAAGCAGAACAAATTATGAGATAAAGGCTCTTTTTGTTTCTGAGTAGAAAGAAGATTATGTTCTTTATAATCTTCTATTTAAGTTTTATATATTGTAGATGCTACAGCACTGAAACTAAAGGGGGA